CACAAATAAAGTGTGCAATTTAAACTTTGCGAACAAAATTTGTCGAGTAATACTCCATTTTTTTGTGAAAAAAATACCTATTTAATTAAAAATATTGTGCAGTTTGTATTATAAACAATTCTTAAATTCTCTCAATGCTATTAAGCGCCAGAAATGGCACGTGCGTTGCGCAAACCCGATGCTTCTTTAGCAGTTATGTGTCTCATTTTAATGTTAATTTTGTCTTATTTTTATTAAATAATACGATACCTTCATTGTTTGCATCTAAATGTCTTTAATAGTATAGTACAATATTTTTCCAAGGTAAAGTACATTCAGAATTATCCATATTTGTTATAACATAATAATATACTTAAGCTACAGCTCGCGAGGCGAGAATTATATTGTTCTATCTGCACTTTTTTCCAAATCTGGAATTTTAGCTTGGTTAAGATATTTTTATGAATATGGTTATATTTACAACGACTTAAAACAATTTATATTACTCTTAAAGCTACAAAATGCATTTGAAAAATGTTCTATATTTTATTTCCAGCAATACCAAATCAGTATAATGTTCTATCTGCTTCGCCAATGGGATTGTCGGAATTTTGGAGATAGAACATGTAAATTTCAGTTTAAGACTGTAATTTCTGCGATACATGAGAGCTCTTTTGTGTCCTAATTTCGTTCTAAAAGCAAAAAAAGCAATAAAATATGGTGAAAAATTTATTGTGTTATCTATTTATTGTATTTTTATTGCTTTTTTAAAATTGTAACAATAAAATATACAAGGAATTTTTAACGGGTGTAATAAGAAAAATATTACACCCGTTAAAAAGAGCTTTTGTCAAAGCATCTTCAATTACTAATTTCTTAAACCAAAATGTGGCGTTTGCAAAGAATATCGTATTTTAAAAAGCTATAGAAGTAGAGAAACTTAAAAAACACTTTAAATCAAAGGAGTTTTGCAAAATAAAAGGTATAAGGACCGCCAGAATACAGATAAAACAACAGCCGCTATTTGTTTTGATATGGAGAATGTATTTGTTCTTCCACGATCTAATATTTCCTGTTTTTTTTATTCAAAAAAATTTAATACCTTTAATTCAGTTGTCGTTTGCCTTAAAGAACTGTATGGAAGAATTCCCAGAGATCAAGGAAATAACACAAAAATTTTCAGAGCCAGGACACACTAAATACGGGAAGTCCTCAGAAAATATTAATTTTAAATTACCTTATGCATCGGTGAAGGTCCTTAAATATTTACCAGAATTTCATACAAAAATATTTTACAAAAAAGTACAAGATGACAATATTTTACAAAAAAGTACAAGATGACAAAGATTTTGTACAGGCAAATTTAATTTATCGTATTGGAACAAGAAGCCACAAAGGATTTTTTAAGGTAGACCATGTCCGGTGGTAAAAAAATGTTTACTCGCCGAAGTTAATGTTTATACCAATTATTTAAATTAATTCCAGACGCTGATAAGCAGTTTATTAAAAGCATGTTTTAAGAATTTTAAGATAAGATGCATGAGAAAAAAAATTGAAGCTGGAAAAAAGAAAAAATGACGTTTTTCATTTGGTTTTTCGTATCAAATTGTTTACTATATTGTGTAAGAATAAAGTTGTGAAAGAAATGCTTTTTTATTTAAAATTCATTTAGATCGAGCAAAATTTAAAATTAAATTCATTTTTATTTTGTATTTTTGTTCTATCTTTATATTTCATTTTTGTTTATTATTCTTTTATAAACAGTATAAATGAGCAAAACATAATTCACATAATAATATAAAACTACCTAGAAAAGTCAATAAATTATATTTTGACCAAATAAAGCCAACTAAAAATAATTTTTATATGGTCAATTTTTTAAAAGCTTTTCCTGACAATTTATTGTTTATATAGATAGAATATTATAATTTTCGCCTCGCGAATTGCCATTATATTTAAGTTAACCTCGTTCTCCTGTGTAAACCGGTCTGGTTTAGCAGCGACATCTACTCCATTCTCTAATGGGTCTACGGATGATGTTTGGATTTAATTTGGTTTGGGTTTGGACTTTTTGCTTTGAGAATTCTTTGCTTTAAAATAATTTTTGCATCGAAAACATTTTTGTAAATGGATATACTGTCCCAATATATGAGGTATTTCTTGATTCAATTAACCAATTAATAATTATAATCAATTAACTATAAGATAGAACAAGAAAAAGAAGAAATTTTTATTTCGGATTTAAACCACCCCCTAAATGAACCGCTATGTTTAGAAGAGTTTATGAAAGCTTTATCAAACACATCTGACTCCAGCCTCGGACCGGATGACATACCTTTTCAATTCTTAAAAAACTTACCCTGCAGTGCCACGAATCATCTACCGAAAATCTACAATTTCATATGGAGACAAAAAGTATTCCCAGTCCTGATTGGAATCAACTATAATCCCAATTTTAAAACCCAAGAAAGGCAAATCAAATCCATACAGGCCAATTTCTCTTACGTGCACTATGTGTAAACTTTAGAAAAAATGATTAGCAAAAGACTGACCTGGTACTTAAAACAAAATAATTTACTAATATGTATTAGTAAATTATTTTGTTCCTGTACAGGAACAAAACGGTTTCAGGAAAAATAAATCGACAACGGACAATATAATTGAACTTGAATCCTATATTAATGAAAGCTTCGCTAATAAGCAAAACTGTCTCATAGTATTTTTTGACATACAACATGCCTAGACTCGGCTTGGAGATACATTATATTGAAGCAATTAAAATTATTGGGGATTTCCGGAAACATGTCGTGCCACTGGTTATCTTTTAGAAAATAAACTGCTAATAAACGGCATACCACAAAGCTCCATAATTAGCATATTACTTTTTCTGGTATCCATAAACAGTGTTACAAAAAACCTAAAGCCGCCCCTCAAAACTAGGTTATACGGTGACGACTTAATAATCTACTTAAGGGGTAAAAACATGAATACCCTTAAAACAAAAATCCGATAGGAAATTGATAGTATTTCAGAATGGGCAAATAACACAGGCTTTAAGTTCTCAAAAATAAAATAAAAGTAATTATGTTCTTCAAAAAAGACACCCTTTTGCCTCCCCCGCTTAAATTACAAGACGACCAAGTACAATTTGTTTCTTACATAAAATTAATGAGAATGATATTTGATAAACTTAACTTAATTCTCCATATTAAAGACCTAAAGTCATTCTGCCAAAATGGTTTAAACCTAATGCAAATCTTCTCAAAACAAAAATGGGTAGCGGACTCAATAACCTTCCTTAAAATATACAAAACAATCATAAGATCAAAATTAGATTACGGGTCAATAGCATATTCCTCAGCTAAGAACTCTATACTAAAGTTACTAAACCCAGTACAAAATAAAGCCTTTCATACAAGCCCAACAAAGTCTGTTATGGGAAGCAAGAGAGCTCGCAATTATCCAAAGAAGAATGTACCTCCCCTATGATATGCATTCACTACACCCATTTTATGAAATACAGGGAGGTACCTGGGAACCGGAGGTTTTAAAAATTAACAATTTTGTGTTTTTTTGAATTAAATTTAAGTATAATACATAAAATTGTTTTGTTATTACATGCCATTTAAAATTAATATCATGTCAAATATTACTTACTGAAGTTGGTGTCGATCCTCCTAAATGCAATCGCGATTTAAGGTACCCCAACAGTAAAATCTCACGTTTGGCCTCTAAGTCCACGTAATTTGATTACTTGCGATTTTTTCCTGTGAAGGTACTTTAAATTGCGTGTATACCCCAAGGCCAGAACTGAAGTAGGCCCTTAAATGAGAATTGTCAAGAATCAATAATAATAATGAGATTATGTAGGCCATGGAAGGTTGAAAGTTTGCATTCAAGAGGATAGACACAACCTTTTTGACGTTATCTTTAACACATAACATTAATTTCAAATGGCATGTAATGGAAAACAATTTAATGTATTAAATTTAAATTTTTCATAAAAAAATAACAGAATATTTTTCATTTTAAAAACGTTAGGTTCCCGAGTGTCATCCTGTATTTTAAACTAAAAAACCCACATTCTTAGATAAAGTGCATCATAAAAAAATTATAAAATTTTTAAATTTTACACCAATGCTTACTCCACCAAAACCAGGACAACATCCATGGACAATTCAAATCCCTTAATGTAACACCAGACTCACATCACTTGATAGTCTATTATAGAAGCTGGTATAAACTTTTAACACATATACAGATGCATCAAAATCCAATGAGGGCGTTGGTTCAGAATTCTTACACACAAATTTCTGTAAACAATATATCCTTCCTCATACAAGTAGTATCTATACTAGGGTGAATCGAAAAAGGGATTTTGTGGAGTATTGAATTCTTATAGGACGAAAAAGTTGCGTCTTTGCATGCTTATTAACAGAAAAAATAATAAAAAATCATACTTTGAATCTTCAGTTCGCCCAAAGGACCTAAAGTTTGTAAAAATGAGGAAAAACCTCAAATTTTACATTTACGCTCAAAATATACAGGTAAACTTTTTTGGCTTCTAAAAGCATTTAAGAACTTCGTGTTAGTCGTTTTATGATTGAAAAATTATATTTAAATACTATGCGCAACTGTTTGAGTTCGCGCAAAAGGCCTAAAATTAAGGTAAAAATCATCTTACAAATACACCATGAACTGTGGTATTTTAAATTATACATTATAGCTTAACTTTGAAGCTCTTCGCCCATTTTACATTTTGGTATAAAATGACCCAGAACCACGAAGTTGGCTATAATACCAGTTCCACACACACCCTTCCCAACCATCCAACCTATAAGATTGTGGTCAATTAGGTGGATTTAGCCAATGCGGTTACCTTAAAATCAGATTTTTTTATCAAACTTTGGCATTGTTGATCTTAAAAGCAACGTTGTTCTAATATATCCATGTCTGTTTTCTTCCCCGCACACTTTTTATGTAGACTCCGTGACAGGATTCAAGCATCTTTCGCGCATAGTTTAGGTTGTTAAACTTTCCAATATTGAAGGCGGCGACAGCTTACATTTGGTCCAATCTATTAACTTAATGTAGTCCGTGACCTCAAAATTTATTAAGGGAGTCATAAAGGTTCTAACAGACTTCGTAATTTCAGATTTTGCCCTAAGTACTCTTCTGTAACCTAACTCTCGTAGGTACTCCCTCTCATCGACTATCATAGCCAACAACATGTTCTCTGGGTGATAGAAAAAGGTGTTTCTCTGAATTACAGGATCGATGATTCTTTTAATGTCATCTGGCAAATGTCTCGTTGTTTGAACAACATTAAAGATATGTTTCGGACCATATTTTACTAACTGACATCTTTTAATATCAAACCAGACAGGGGCATATGTCTTAATAATGTAGCTTACCAGCATCTTAAGTTTGTAGGACTTGTTTGAGAAATAAAAAACCGTTAGACACGGTTTGCACATGTCATGTCATCTTAGTCTTGGCTGCAGCCATCGGGAGATGGAGATCTGGAGTACATTGTCCTGTTGGAATTACTCTGACAATATTCAGAAGGTACTGTTGGTCTAAGATCGGTTTTATCGACGGTAATTTCATCTATTTCAATTACTTCAAAATTTGCAACGGGTAATTTGCCGATTTTTCCAGTTAACGATGTATCGTCTGTCCTTCTAAGTATTGAAGGTGTTAACGTGTCAAGCCAAATAGCTACAAGCCAAAACTGCAGACAGAAAAAACAAAAGCAAAGTCATTCTCTCCCATTCACTAAATTCATACGTTTTTGACCTTTTGCGCGAACTCAAAAAATACCCCAATTCGTGTAAATATAAAACCTAATTTTTAACTTAATTTTATGCCTTTTGTGCTCAAAGAATTTCGAATGGTTTTTAAATATAATTTTTCTCTCATCAAACGACTAAAACGAAGTTTTTAGATTCTATTTGGAGCCAAAAAAAGTTTCCCGTATATTTTGAGCGTAAATGTAAAATTAGATCTTTTTCCCTATAATCGAAATAAAAAGACGACGCCTTAAAAACGAAATTTTTGACACTTGGCAACAGGACTGAAATAACACTGTGCGACAAATTTTGACCTTACAATTTGAACTGGGATGAAATGTAGAAAAATCGAATCTATGCAACCCCCAAAACTAATCTTTAAAAGGGTTTTGCTAGTTTAGCTCGAATAATGGAGATATATAAAATCCCCTAGAACTTAAAAAATATGAATTTTATAGAAAAATGCTCGGACACGTCGATTTTTATTTTATATGACGCAATTTTCAGTTGATTTTGAAATTTTTATTTTTTCACAGATTCACCCCCAGCCACTCCACTTTTTTTTAAAAGAAAACCGACCCTTTGTTACCTATACCTAAAATAATAGATAATTATTAAATTATAATTTGACCAAAAAATTGCAAAAATCGAATCTATGCAAAATTCAAATTAATTCCATTTAAGATGTCCTTTATATTATAAAAGTTAAATAAATTTGATTGTTTAATGTTTACAATATTTAACGAAGTAAACAATTTTTTTATACTGTTTCTCGAATTACATATATAAACAAACCGAAGTTTTGAATTCTTTCCGTGCCCAATATTTCTCACAGGTATTCGCGCCTAATATCTGTTATAATATTATAGTTCGAAATCTTCAACTTAATGCCCTGCATTTTAAATAGTTTGCAGTGTTAAAATGGAAAAGTGTCCTTTTTAAAAACATTAACAATACGTGTGTGATACATTCTCGACAATAAACACTGGATACAAATTGAAAAATATCCCAAACATTGCGGCAGCTTACCAACAATATTTTGGCCAGGAAATTATTTTCGACAAGTCTTGGGCTCCAAATAAAATGTGTAACTCTTGTTACTTAAGATTACGAAGGTGGAAATTAGGAGAATTGACTCAACAGATATTAAATGGAATTAATTTGAATGTTGCATAGATTCGATTTTTGCAATTTTTTGGTCAAATTATAATTTAATAATTATCTATTATTTTAGGTATAAAAAAGGGTCGTTTTTCTTAAAAAAAAGTGGGGTGGCTGGGGGTGAATCTGTGAAAAAATAAAAATTTCAAAATCGACGTGTCCGAGCATTTTTCTATAAAATTCATATTTTTTAAGTTCTAGTGGCTTTTATATATTTCCATTATTCGAGCTAAACTGGTAAAGGATTTGTTTTGGGGGCAGGGCCGTACCGAGGCACACGTTTTTGGGGGGGTGGAGACGATAAAAAAACCAACTTATTTTTTTATCGATACGTTAGTAGTAATAGTAAAAAATTTCAGTAGTTTTATCATGTATTTAAAGTGTAGATAAAGAATGTCCTTACCTACCATTAGCATGCTCTTTCGAAGTCGATGGGATTGATTCACGTTCTCTATTTTTTTTGATTTGCTGCCAATGTAAGTGGATTATCCGGCAACAGCAACAATTTTAATTGTAACCAAATTTTCACCGTGAATATTTTTCCCATGCATTTTTTTCTAGTCCTTCTTAAACACAGATCCACATAATGAGCATTTTACTAGAACTCGGCCCGGTCTAAAGTCTATTCAAATCCAAGCTGGACTAAATGTAAACACAATCCACCGAATCGACCAATAAGAACTCACAATCCGAGTCACACCATCAGAATCGACCAATAAGAACAAGTTATCATGCGTCTGGGCGTTTTTGTTTTAGTCCAGCTTGGATTTGAATACACTTTAGCTTTCTTTTCCACATTAAAAAAAATTAATTCCTATTTATTGATACTAGTTTAATTTAGCTTAGATATGCTTCAACTAAATAATAATCTAAAAAAATATGACGCCGAAAATTGGGGTGCGTAAAAAGAGTCAAACGCCGCCAAAACCAAAGACAAAGCCGCGAGGCGGTGCCGACTTTGTACATGCCGCTTGTGTGAAATATAATGTCCCTTAATAAAAATAAGGTTGACCAGTACAATTTTCTTGACGGTAACGATTACACAGTGCAACAATTTGGGGGCTTTGAAAAATGGACGCAATTTTGCATAGCACATTCGAAAGTATACATTAAGATAAGAAAAACCCTAGCTCTGTTTTGCGATAGTAGCTCGCATTTTTATTTTATGGCTCTATAAAGTTTTACAAAATTTGTGAATTGACCTGCTCAGTTTTTGGCTAATTACTCGGCAACTATTGAAGATAGCGACATACTTTTTTTAGCAAAATTTTAGCTAAGAGTGCCAGCAACAAATTTTATTAACATATTATGCCTCCAAAATTACATCTAAATAGAGTTTTTGAGCAAAATATCGTAAATAGTCAATTTTTATTAGTTTTTCGAACACTAGTCGCAATGTATTCTACTTTTTTGCTAAATTTTTGTGGCAAAATTATAGTTTATGTAAAAATAAACAATTTTTGTGAACTTATTAACCAGAAAAAAACTTACCTGATTTGTATCTTTTAAAGCGAAAATCAAGAAAATGAAAAAAATTAAGTAAACGAAAAATATATATTAAGGTCGTGCTTTCTTGGGTGCAGGCTTAACAACATCAGAATCTTCATCGTCCGAAGCAACAAATTCTTCTATAAATCTTTCCGTTTCCTCTTCATCTTTTTCGTTTTTTTTACTGTCACGGTCTTCAAACCTGCGTTTGCTCCACCAACAAATCTCAGCGAGAATAGCATCTGGTGCTTTATTTCCTCTGTACCTTAACGGAATAACAATTGTAAATGAACTAAGAAATAAAATAATAAAAATCTACCATATTTCGAATGGAATTGCAGTATGATGATAGCGTTCTCCCTGCTCATCTGATTCGGTTGGCAATTGACGGCTAAAGTTTTGCAAGTAATGATGCAAATAGTGTATTTTAAGTGAAATATGTACACCAATGGTTGAAAATTCATTTAGCATACTCCGCACTGATTCTGCATAATTTTTAGAACGATGTTTGCCCAAAAATACAGTTATAACATGCTTTATGAAATACCATGCAACTAATTTATCGCCCACTAAAACCACTTCAAATCGTTCATTTTTCATTAACCTCCTTAAGTCTGGACCATTGAGAACTCCATGCTTTAACTTGTTGACACTAATTCCGGTAAATATTTCGCTTAAGCATATTAATACGTCCTCTCTTTTTGCTACAGCTGTTTTTTTACGATTCCAAGTTTAATATGAAGAAATGGCATTAATATCTTTTCAGGTGCTACAAGCGCCTCGCGTACAACATTACAATTTTTAAATTCGCTGTCCTTCCTATCTTTCCAATCGTCCTTTCCGTATTGGTCACCAGTGTATCTCGTATTGCAATCACACAAGAAGCACATGAATTTCGTGTAGCCAGCTTGCAATCCAGAGAGTATAGCAACAACTTTTAAATCTCAACAAATTCTCCACTGATATCATCGATGTTGCTTATACTGGACCAGTTCCAAAATCTTTTTATCATACGTTTCTTTTGTGTCCGTACTGTAGGCGATTGGGATTAAAGGTTTTTCGTTTAATTTATGCAACAGCACGGCTTTCAAACTATTTTTAAAACTGTCTATAAACAGGCGCCAATCATCTTTTTCGTAAATAATATCCATAGCCTTCATTAGCTTCCCGACGTCTTCACAATACGCGAACGTTTTTTCTTCATTCACAGTGAAAAATTGTTGCATTTCTTTATTTCGGTTTCGGTAGGCAGTCACTTTAGTATTACTTGCTAGCAAATTATGAATGAATGAATGACGCCAACATTTCCGATAGCTACATAGCTACAATATATTGATCCAATTTAGCTTGCGTAACAAGAATAGGATCACTTTTAATTGAGACCGGATTATATTCAGATTCATATTGTGTATATCTAGTTGCTGCACATGAAAACATAACTGGGCCTGGAAATGTTGATAGTGCTGTGACAACATCGGAATGGGGCAACGGCACGAACGGGAACATAAACTTTATTTTTTGATTTTTTTTTTGTTCAATCCAATTACACTATTTACACACGCATAACAATTTTGAAAATCATGAGGGCCAGGATCAAACCATAACATTGGTATACCATATGGTAGAAAATGAACTTTCTTTGCTTTCCATGCTAAAAAACCATTGTAACAGTTTCTGCACACGCTTTTTGGAGCCCACGGAACATCCTTTTTAACATTTTGAGAATAGTACTTTTCATAACACATATCAAACTCGTCACTCAAGGGTAATTGTTTATTTTCTTTACCCATAGGGGTGAAATGACCACAAACATAACAAAAATTGTTTATGTTTCCCTTGCACTTTTCCATTTTCGCGTTTTAACAACAAGACAATTTTAACAACAACAATAACAAAAAAAGTAAAACGAAAAAAACAACAAACGCAAAATGAAAAAAGTAACAATAACGTAACAACAAACATTACAGCGTACAATCGTA